TTTCGTAATTGATTTTTAACCGATGGTTTGTATCGATTCGTTGCTCGTTTGTGCCTGCTGCACCTTGTTGGTTTCAGCGAGTTTTTGGATAACGCTATCAATGCCAGCGGTTATGGTTGGTTTTTCGTTGTGATCTGTTTACTTGACAACACACAAATCGTTTGATTTATTGCAGCAACTATTGTCTTTATTTCTTTACTTCGCAGAATCGTTAATTTTGCTAGTATTTTTACAATATTCGTTTTTATAATCAAATTGCATCCCTGGGCAATGCCTGAATTCTTTAGCTAGTTTAAATTCCAAGTCGCTAATTATATTATACATTTAATTATTTTTCTTCTTCAATGATTTATTTTCTTCGACCAACGTGTCAAAGGTATATTAAAAATTGCTATACTTTAATTAGACATCCCTCGGTGTATAATTTAAAATAAAAATGTTTATGTTCTATATTACTATGTAAATTGCTTTTAAGTATTCAGTAACTATCAAGTTTATAATTTGGTGAAGTTGAACCTTTTAATACTTCAATCTTATATTGAAACCGTTCACACTTAGCTCTTAAATAGTAAATAGTAATTTCTAACTATATGTCCTTAATAATAGTTTATTCTATACTTCGTAATCAACTGAAAAAACAATAAAAATCACATTCCTTTTATTATGCTAATTTCAGATAACAATTCATCAAAGTCCGCTTACTGAACCTCAATCTTAATTATAAGCCGAGCAATGTATTCGTTATAATTAAAAAGCATTATATCCGGTTTTATCATCAGCGATTTGTCTACGACGTTCGTGCAACTATTGCTTGATCAAAGGTCATTAACAGATCTCAGGAAATAATTATTCATCATCAAATATATTTATTTATTTGTGACTTAAAACAATAATTGCTCTGTGCTAGTAATAATAATAGTAATTATTTGAACGTATCGTATAATATATTATGATATTAGAACTATAAAGCAAGTCACTGCGGTATTCAGAAAATACAAAGTTGATATGGTTTACTAAAAATCATAAGATTACTCATAATTTTTTTCAAATCATTTATTTTTAATTTTAGCTTGCTAATAAATAACTTAAATTTCGTATTTGTCAAGTACAAAATTCTTCTAAAAGTCATGTCCTTATTTTTTTCGTATCATTAAAAACTAAGAAGTAGTTAGTAAATATAATAATTTTTCGAGTAATTTCTTTTACTACGAATAAAACTTTTATGTCTTAATTTTATCATGCATTATAAAAGCATAAAATATATATATAAATGTTATCATTTCTATAATTACATATTATTTTATAATTTGAGTTTAAGCAATTTTAATGTATCATATTTTTAAGGTTAATCACCAAAGAAAATTTTACATCATATATTTCATTATCTTTGCAGTTGCTATAATATAAAATACAAGTAGACTATGGAAAAATCCATCTTTGTTTGACAGGAATTTCATGAACATATTGTCATAGGACATATAATATCTAAAATCTAAATACACTACTAAAATATAACATAACAAGACAGCAGGTCATTTCATTCGAATATTCCAACAATGTTTGAATAACTAGTATAACTAATATAAAATATATTCTAATCGAACATAAATGAATGTCAATCGACTAATAGTGTCACGATTTTTTTGATTTTGTACCTGATGATGAATTTTTAATTAAAACCCAGTTGTACATTACAAGTAAAATGATAATTCAGACTAAGATTTTATTTATTTATTTATTTATTTCTATACAAATTAAATTTAAATACGTATAAAATATTTATTTGTATATGCATTTACGACTATTAACTATTTACTAATTTTTATTTTATTTTTATTATTTTATGATTACTTGCACTCGTATTTACACTGGGATTCACTTTTACTGAAGTTTCATTTGCGATGGACTTATTTCGTACTATTTGTCTATTAGTGAAACAAATGTTTTTTCTCGATCATTTATACCACATATATTACATTCACAAAACGGCAGATTTTTTAATTTTAAGGTTTTTATAATAAAATTTTTTTCATTTGCAATTCTTATTAGGTCAAATAATAGCATTACTAAACTTGGAAACTTGGAGAAGAAAAACGTTGTTAAAAGCTAAATTGTAATATATTATTTATTTCAAAGCTCTTAAAAATCCAAAAATATATAACGAAAAATCTCATATTTTATAAATTGTTTTTTTCGAAAAAATGATCATACTTTTAACTTATCCTTTTTCTCATTGTTTATTCTTACCTCAAGTATAATAACACTATATAGACATATAGACGTGACTTATATGTATCAGAAGAAACGGTGAACATATTATTAAAATATTTTGAAAAATTGACATTACGATTTAATAGACTCGACTCATAACCCGTTTTAATTTTCCATTATGGAATCCACATTATATAAATGCTCTTTTAAAGTATGTTTTTTTTTTTTTTTTGGTTCTTCTTTGACGTTTGATTTTTTAAAAAACAATAATGTTTGCGACATATTGGCTTTTGACAAAGTCGATTTTTTTTTTTATTGTCACTCAACAAATATTAATCGTATTGACTTGAAACTTTCACTGAATCTTTGTGTCATCGTTCACTACAAAGAGAATAATTTTCAAAAGATTTCTCAAATTATTTTATAGATGGATGAAAATTTCATGCTTTCTTAAGTTTTTTCGTAAAATGTCGATGATAAAAATGTTGGTTCGAAAAAATGTCTAAGAAATTTAATAAAAAAATCTTTTACTGAATACTGAAAAAAAAAAAAATCAAATTTTAACAAAACATTAACAATCTCGAAAATCTCTTATATTTTTGGTAAAAAATTCTTAATACTATAAATATTTATAAAATTTAAAACTTTAATATTGGTTACAAAAATCTTTATAATATTAAGCTATGACAAAAAAAAAAAAAAATTAAAAGTCGCAAATAATATAAATAATTGATTTATATGCGTTACAAAATTAAATTTTGGCTAAATCAGATTTTTTAATAAATCTATCAAACAATTTACCGAATTATTGATTATTACGAGTTTAATCAAAAACATTTCATAGTTCCAAAATATTTTAATGGACTTTGTGTTATTACTTAAAATTTTCAATTTCCATAAATTGAAAATACCATTTCTTAGCGAAATTTAGAACATTGAAAGTTAAATCTTCTTTATTAAAAAATTTGGTTCTTCAACCATCATCTTTAAAAAATATAAGCCAATCCACACGACCTCTTTCATTCATAATTTTTTTTTTTCGTGTATAAAAACATATTGTTTTCAATTTTAACAGACCGATACGGTAATATAAATCTGAAATTTCATCTAACTTAGGAGTTTTGCATATTTTCATGACTTTATGTGTAGCACGTTAGTATGTTTTGTGGGGTTAGCAAAACATTACCACTGTGACGCTTATTTCAAACTCGAAATCAAACTAAGGACAAACGCGTATCCATCCTCCGTGAGTTTTCATTTAAGACAGAAATTGTTTACATAAGAAGATATTTAAACGTGGTTTATATCGTTTGTCAAAACTATAGACAAAGTTTATCAGTTCCTTTGAGTTGTTAGTTGGTACTTTTTTATTCACGTTTTTTTACTTTATTTAAATTATTATTCAACTTTACGGGTAGAAAATAAATGGAACATTTTTATATTTAATTTACATTTTTGAGCAGTTAAACGGGTTCTTTAAAAAAAAAGTAATATGATTGTTTCTCACAGCAATTTGACGTAGTCGACCAGCCATCTAAAGTATATAAATGTGCTGAAAAGAATTTTCAGAATTTTCATGTTATTTTTTTATACGATATTACTGTTACACGATAGAGTTGAAACTAAATCAGGTCTGCAGGTGAGAGGAAAAAATCGTATAATATTATATACTACAAATCGACTGTCATCGCTACAGAAAGATATCAAACCTCATCGTGGCCAAATGTATATATTTTATTTCAAAATGGCAAGTTGTCGGGGGAAAAATGTATTTTGTTTTATGTGTCAAAACATGCGCTGATACACATTACGACGCTATTTGACAACAGTATTATTTTTTCTAAATAATAATTTTTTTTTAACTCAACATTCCTTCAACATTCGAATTTTTATATTTTTTTTCGAAAACCCAAAGTAATCAATTGTCTTTGGCTTTAGAAATTATTGTATAAGATTATTTATACCCATTAAATATTCATAATGAAATAATTTACTTTTAAAATCAATACAGTCTATTAGTGACTTATATATAATAATAACAATGAAAACCGGTGATAGATTAATTATAAAAAAAATGTTCATATCTAAAGATGGATACTTGATAGAATATAAAGATTTTAATGTAATAAAATATTTAAAACTCGGGCTTTTGAATTTTTTTTATTCTTTGTGGGCCATTAAGGCCTTTCGCAGCATCTATTAATTCTCTTCATACATAATGGTCAGTAGCACAGTTTCCCTGTTTTATATTCTGTTAATCATTGTTATATTTACATTGAGTTAGTAATTACAAATTATTTAACACTGTTGAATAAAATTTAAAAAAAAAAGGAAATAAACTTTTTAAAAAAATTATAATTAATTCTTTAAAAACGTGACAATGCGAGATAATCGATCGCAAAAATAAAAAAAGTATTTGGTTATGGGACAACCATGGTTGTTTGAGCTATGTATTTTGTTTCTAGTTTCATGTTTTTATCTGTGTTATCTGTTTTGTATTATAATTTGCGTGTGATGTAAAACGGTGCATTGCATGGCTGCAGTTATGGTTGACTTGGTTACCTTGGAGGTATACTTCCATGTGCATTTAATCAGCTGTGTAATCGCGATGTTATCATCAAATGTAAATATTCATTATTCTGTATTTTTAATTTCTATCGGTCATGCGGTATGTAAAGTCATAAAGGTCATGTTATTGGTGCCACAAGTTTTCTATTGTTCCTTTATTTTCAGTTTCAGTGTGGTGGCATTGATACATTTTTATCGTAATAATGGTGTCCGGTGTCCGTAGCTCTCTCTGTTCGTGTTCGTCGATGACTACACATCAGTATTAATTTTCTTGAATCTCGTTCTTGTTCCTATTTACAGTCATCTTGTCCAAAACCACGTTTTTCTTTGAGTTGTATTTTATCTGCCGTCTGGTAAGTGGCGTTCAGGTATCGTAAGTTACTCTTGCACTTTAGTTTACATTGTTCCAGATTGGTCATTTCCCGGTAACATTTGTGAATATCGTGATTTTTCATCATCATTTTATATTGTGCTATGGCGGAACTTGTGAGTTCTTCTGCAACAACTGTCGGTATATGATTGTGTGTGTACGGGGTTAGGTTTGTGCTTTTAATTGTACTAGTTTTATTAATTACAGTCCCCGGCATATCTCGTGTGTCACATTTGTACGTGAGTATTGGTCGACCACATTATTATTAGTTGTATTAGTTTAGTAAAGACCAAGGGACATAAGTTAGAGCATTTATTTATTATTTATATCATATTTAGTGTGTGCAATGGCGTAGCCAGGGGGAGGTTTGGGTTAGGCTAACCTAATAACAAAGAATATAGATCTGGTTGAAGCTATTCAAACCGCTGATTACGTAGTAAGTAAAATTAAACAATCAGATTAAATGATAAAAGTGAATTTAAAATAATATTTATAATGTAAAATCTAAATGTGATGTCTTAAACATTGAGATATTAATTCCTCGTACAACTAATAAGCAAAAAAAAAACAGATGCAATATCTAGGTTGATTTGCCCGAGGATTATTACAGAATATCTTTATTCATCCCATTTATAGATAATTTTTCAAATCAATTAAATGATCGATTTTCATCTCATAGACCTATAATTGAAAATTTTAACGTTATTTTACCATTATCCAATAGTATGCAATATGCAGAAAAAAATAAGCAGCTAGTTGAAATGTATTAAGGCGATTTAGATTGCAGTGTATTAACAGCTGTGAGTGAAATTAAAATTTGGCAACAAAAATTTACAGGAACTAAAGATTTACCAAAAAATGTTATCGACGATCTTGAAAATATCAATTTTTCCTTCTACTTTCAAACTTTTACAGATTTAAGCCATTCTCCCAGTTACAACTGCTAAGCTAACAGTGAACGATCTTTTTCAACATTAAAAAGATTAAAAACATATTTACGAAACACTACATATGAAAATAGGTTGAATGGTTAGGCAATAATGAGTATACACAGTGATTTAATGATAAACCCTGATGATGCCCAAAATAAATTAACGACCAAAACAAGAAAACTACGGTTGATGTAAATTTTAATGTAATTAAAATATTGTTTGACTTTAAATGTTTTAAATAAAGTACAAGAAAATTTAAAATAATATATTTCATGTATATCTACTTATTGTATAGATCTAAACCGTTAACTTCCCCATTGAAAAATCCTGTTTACGTCATTGGCCGTGTGGGCTACCCATTTTATTATTATATATTGTAATATAATTAGTTATGCCGTTGTAGGGCCAACGTTGATTATTTATTGTATCATTTAGGCTAATTATTTATTTTATATTGATTTATTTATTTATTATTAAATAGCCCATTTATTAAGAGTTTGTTATTTGAATTTTTATATTTATTATTTTAGCGAAAGAAAACCTTATTATTAGAGGACACTCAGTGCGTAGACATTTGTGATAAGCACCTTGTTAGTAGAAGTTACCCTTCCTTCTTTTTGACCCTGTGAACAAATCGTGTATTCAGTACTTAGGTGCATTTCGTTCATTTAAAAATCTAATTCCTAGGACAAAAAGTAAATAAAAGAGAAACATTTTGACTGACAGGAATAATTGCTGATTATTGCAAAATATTTGTCTTAAACGTATTATACGCTTCCGTTTCGTAATCATCTTTTCGTCGCTGACTATATTCATTTTATATAATATCTAATGTGAAATTAATATAACTCGTAGCCAATTAATTTTCTAACTTATTGATGGTATACTAATGTATCCGATCATCCTGCTACCAATAAATCCTTAAAGTATTTTTTTTCGTTTCAAAGGTGTTGTTCAATTATTCTGTATTTTACAAATATATTTTAAATATTTTACCAATATTTATTAAACAACAACTTTTATTGCATAATTATTATTTTTTTTTTATGAAATCTAACCTAAATGTTTATTTTTTTTCTTCAAATTTATTTCGATTTTTCGATTTAAACTATATCTATAATTTTTTATTGATAAATTAAATTGTTTTCACACCGATTGAAAATGATAAGATGTTAATATAATAACAAAAAAGTTTTGATAACAAAAATACATACTGCTACATTAGATATTTGATGTTCTATCAACTTTGAAAATAATTTATAATTCTTAATTACCTTCCAGAAATATTGTTGAATATTCAATTCCCGTTTTAATTTTTTTGAAAAGTACCTTGATAAACACTATATAACACATGTGAGCTTAATAAACAAATATTTTTGTCGTATATTTTAGGAATCCAATTTCAAAACCCCCGGATCATTAGCTATCAATCAATAATTCAATAAAAATTATTCTTAAATTATCTACCTTGTAAAATATTTTTTACCAATACACACATAAACATTACCATTCGTATAATTAATTAATTTTCAGGCTTTAAAATTCTTAAACTATTGGAAGTTTCTGGTAACTTTATTTTGGATATCTGTGATATTAAACTTGGATCCTGATCCTGTCATGCTGTACAGGACTAAAACCGAAATCGATGTACGCTATTTACTTGTTTAATACGTTTAAGTGCTATTTATCTTGTCAGAATATATTCAGTTATTTTTTTTTTCAGCACGATTTGAGTAATCGAAAGGCAACAGTTGTGTCTACCATTGCAAAAAATCTTAAATCAATTATAATGATAATCCAAGCTTTCAAATCGCTTGAAATATTAGAATTGTTTAATGATTTGAAAGCTATCGAAAAACGACTGAATATTAAAGGTAAATAAAGAAACAAACAATATAGTTGTTTTAGTTTGATATTTTTTTCCAACGACTTTAATTTTCAATCACATAGTAAAATATTATATAATATCAAAATAAATTTGTAAGTAAACATTGTTTATTAAATTTATGATGGTGCAATTAACAATTTATCACAATAAAATACCAGGGATGAATTTTATTTTGTCAGTTGATTATTGTAACGGGTCTATAATAATACAAAGAAAATGCGTGATTCAACGTCAGAAAACACAAAATATTTTGATAGTGAAATATCTTTATAATAATTATTATTTAACTGTAGTGTTCATTATTTGAGAATTTGATATCCTGTCAACTTTTAATATCCTATTAAAAAAAGGAAACATATAAAACATTCGTTATTATAAAATATCCGTACTCATATGTAATTTCTTATTTTACAGCTATCTTATATAATTATATCGAAGTATAGTTAGTTGAATTAGTTAATTGAAAACAATTTAATTTTTGAAAACCATTTCAGAGATTAGTTTGACCATCACAGATTTTGTAAGGTTTAATTTATATATATATATAAATATAATAAATATATATAGATATATCTGACATCATCGCATTTTCAGTACCTAAACCAAAAATAAAATATGATTTTTGCATGTGTTACAGATCCGACGATAAACAATTCGTTGCTAAACACAAGTGTTCAACGATATTAGAAATGTTTTGCACGCGTCTATGTATAGTTTTGTACACAACACATAACACAGTTGTTTGTTGATTTATTTTGCATTTTTAATTTTGTTTATTGCACTTGCAATGGATCAATTATACATTTATAAGTGTTGTTGTTTGCTCCAGAACCGCTTCTGCGATTATGGTGGTCGGTAGCTCTGACTTGCGTAGTAAAGAACCAGGTCATAGTTATCACAGGTCGAATTATATAAATAAAAAAAAAGGTAAATAAAAAAAAAAAGAGATAAATAATAAGGTGCCCAAGTTTAAGGTGTGCAGTAATAATATGATAAACTATCAAACACTTAATACACTATACATAATTATAATAACAACATACACAAAGATACGATATAATATAAAAAAAAAAAAAAAAAAAATTAAAGGATATCACCAGACACCGAATGACCCACTTGACAATCCACGGATGATGGGAACACTCTGTCTACACCACGATAAAGGTACAGAAGAAATATGACCGACAACCGGTGAAAATCTTCGAACGACGGCAGCGTGTCAATTACACACGCGCACAGATAATGGCGCACTTTGCCCGGCATTGGCGGTGATCGCGACGCACTTTACACGCAAAATACAACCACGGCGACGTACACAATAACAATAAAAAATAATAAGTACGCAATTTCCGGACGTCATGGCAATAGCAAGGCCACTGACGTACCACCGAATAACGCGACGCAACGGAAACGCGTATATATGTCCACAAAACGTTTTACGACTAACACGCGTAAATAGGTCCGCAAGACGTTACGAAACGAACACGCGTATGTCTGTTTTTCCACGATCATTCGTGCACAGAACCCGTGACTGTGGCGAAAAATACGGCCGAATATGAATAACAGCAACCAAAACGGTCGTTGCGTTGCACACCACGAACACAGACGTGCGTCACGGACGAATGATTTCGCTCTGTGTGATTCCGCTTGGCGACCAATGCGAAAAGATTACGCGGAGGTGTAGTGTATTGCGTTTAGTGCACGTAAAAGACAAAGACAGAACTGCAAAGGCCGAGTCGCAGACCGATCATCTAGACTGCCCCGGGATGTAGGGGGAAGGGGGAAGTGTCATGAAAATTCGAGACGTTTATGGTACAATGTACGACACGCTATGACGCGAAAATGCAAACCGTTGTGGTGTTTGAACAGTTGTTTTGGTAGTTTTGGGCGTGATTTAGTCGACCAGTGCGATGGAAGATTATTTTTTGTAGTGTAAGAAAATGAATAGAATTGTATATTTTCATAAAGTTATTTAAAATGCATAAGTCAATATATTTAGTGTAACCGAAAATTATGATAAACATCTTTACCGCCATTCACTAAACTGCGTGAACGCAAGCCGTGACTCCGATAAATAATTAAATTCATACAGGATATTCCTACAGTATTTAATGATATATAATGAATTCACGGGGCTAAATATTTATTTTTCCCGGTCATGCATGTATTATTCCATCGTTTTATGGACTCGGTCGCTTTTATTCAGAATGCGTTCTGCGTAAGACGTTCTATTAAATTTGTGTTTTTTCTTTCTCCTTCTATTAACTATATGTTAACTATAATGTGATTAACATCTATTTTTATTTCCTTTTATCCCATTTTCTCCGTGTCATCTGAGTATCTTAGCTGGGGACCTTAATCATTATTCCGTCTACATGCACCGTTATTTTCATTTATTTTTCATAACATGTCCAAAAATAAAATTATCTCTCTCGCTCTCTCTTTGTCTCTCTCTCTCTCGTATTTGTCATAATAAAATAAGCACATATGGGCCAATAATAAAAGTACCTTAAGCAGATGGTCTTTATTTAATAAAACGTTAAGGTTGATTTATTTTTGTGTTTAGGCTGCATTTTTTATTTTGTAAACGTAGGTTTACAATAAATACTCGTATGTTTAAAACATGCATGGTACAAGAATAGACGTACATATTTAGACGGTTTATATTCATTAAAATTATTAAATTATTATATTTCAACAGGTTTATGTTCTATGCACGTGTTGTTATTATTATTGTTATATAAATATATAATGAAAAACTTAAAAAAAATTTTGCACACGAAGAAGTTATAATTTAAAATAGAAGTTATAAAATTGGTCAAAAAAATGTATAGTTTTGTATATTTCCCAAATTAATATTATAAAAATATATTTTATGATCTTTCTGTTATGATTTTTTTCTGTTGTTTTGCCATTCAATTACATTTTATGTTTCAATATAAACAACGATAAGTACATTATTGAGTATAATAGATATTTTTAGGGACGCATTGATATTTCTAAACACATTTATTAAAAATATTTTTTTAGCAACACTTTAAACTTTTGGTAGTTTCACATATCACTTAAAATGTTATTTATATTATATAATTATATTCAAAATTATTCAATATTCTCGAAAAACAAGTGAACATTTTCATAATTTATCATTATCATTTATAGATTTTAACATTTACATTGAAATGCGAATAATATTTTGATTTTATATTAATCTGAAACAGAATATCTAAATCATACTAAATTAGTTAAGACCAATACTAACGAATACTTAATTGCTCATACGCTTTATGAATCTATTTGATTTTATCGACAACCGATTTTGAGTTTCAGTAAATATTTTTCATCATTTAAGTATTTTAGATCAATAATGAACGATTTGAAAAATTTTCAGACAGCTAAAGCTGCTGTTTCAAAATTTTCAGCTTGTTTTAAATATTATATAGCATAATTTCTATTATATTGTAAAGTATTTTTCTAGTTTAATCATTAAATTATGGTTTAATATTTAAATTTGAACTTTTTTAATAATTTACACTTGCACAGTAAATTTTAATTCTTCAATACAACAATACAACTTAAAATCATAAAAAATAAAGAATAATCCAACAGCTTATTATATATTTTTATGACAACAATTATCAGCTGATGTATTTAACATTTTTATAAATTAATTTCAACGCATAAGCGATTTTAAAAGTATTATAAATTTTAGTTAAAATATTTTAAACATTTTATTATATTACACTTTTAGTGATACATCCATTTTATAGAATTTAACAATCCAACAAATTAGAATACAATTATTATACCTATATGCACTTAAAAACATTAAATTTATTACAGAGTAAACTAATTAACTCTGTAAAAAAAAGAAGCTTATAAATTCTTAACATATTATATTTTACGACTAACTAAACAATAATTATTCATATTGAATTATAATATTATAAGATCTGCGTTCATTAAATCCGTTAAATATTATTTATTGTAATTACTATCAGGTTATACAGTACTTCAAGTCAAATAAGTTTAATAAATAAACTAAGCATATAAATATATGAAACAATATTTATTTATTTTATATGCATTTTTAAAATGTTATAAAGCATAAACAATATTAAGTTATTACAAAGTTGTACGCTAGTATTTAAATCATTATATTTATTATTTATTAATAATATAATAATATTTATTATTATTGTCCATTTCGAAGTTGTGTATATCTACAAGAGGATTGAAATGGCTAATTAGTTTATAAATAAAATTCAAATAATACAACCTCAGACGATTTTTAATTACAGACATTAAATTTCATTCATTTTTAAAAAAAAATAATAATTTACTAATGAAATGTATTTTTATATTTAATATTAAAATAATATTGTGCTGTTGATAATTAATATGTTTTTCCTTCAACTTAACAATGATTTAAAAATCGCAAAATTACATACACTAAATTGAAATAAAATAATAACGAGAATAACGAGATATCATTTCAAGATGTATAGTGTGTCGTCCGGCTATCATTAATGTCTTAGGATAGAATTTCAGGATTAATTCTTTCTTGCAGATCCAAGATGCATGCACTTCAAACGTTTAATTTCACAATTCTCTAGAGGCGAAATACATGCGATAACATTTTCAGTTTGTTTTGTTTAATAGAATCGTCAACGATTACGTTAATGATTACTACCATGGGCGTTCTAGTTACTGTTTTTGAACTACTCTTTGACTACCCGTGGTCTAGTTTGTCTGAATATCACTGGATTTATTTAGAGGTGACGTCGAACTTGGATTCACAGCTATATCCACTGTGTAGTTTTATTTCAACTGTGTAACCGTTTCAGGGCTTCTCCAGACTATGTTTGTTTACGATCGACTTGCAATTTTGCCACTTGTGTATTCGAATAGCAAAAATGTACAAGTATTTACACACAAATATTCGGTTAACGTCAACGACAGGTGAGCGCACGTATACACTTATAAAGTTAATACGAATAAACATTCCTAACGCTGTAATTTATTTTGCAACCCAGACGCATAAAAAATTTAATGCACGCGCGTGACAAGTAATCATTATGCATTCACAATCAGTGAGTTATTTCAGATAAAATTATAGCCATCCATGTTATACGATTAAACAGAAGACAATAAAATATCGTTGCTAATTTGGAATAGCAGATTTCGATTTCAAACAACAATTTTACGTATGGTTATAAATAAACGATATAAAAAAGTTAGACTAGACAATTTTTTAGATTTTGTTCAGTATAAACTGTATATAGTATTTAGTGTATAGTAAACTATATTTTTACAAAACAAAAATAATAGGTTCTGAAAACCTGACTATGAAATGACATCGACACGAAATTACTGTGTGCAGAAGGTTAAGGTTCGATGTTGAAAATTAATTTGTTATATTAATTATTATCATCTTAGACCTATTAAGCCTTTGAGTCATTGAATATTTTGCTAATATTCTGGCAGCCTCCTGTAACTGTAAAAATGTTGAGTTCATATAAAATAGTTTTAAAGGATGTTGATTTTAAAAAAGACGCTCTTTGATAATTATCAAAGACTTATAAGTCCCTGGATAATATTTTTTCGGAGCATGATTGAGTAACATAACGAGTTTACTTATATAACAATAAAATATTATATTTTATTGTTTTAAAATAAAATTAACTGTTCACAAATAGTTACGTGGTGAAATGATTTCATTATGGAAATGTTAATGTTTTTGGAGTGAATATTATACATTTCCGTTTAAATTAAGTTTGTTTGAAAGTGTAAAACAATTTAAGGGTACATATCGACCGGTCAGGACATATCAGTTCATTGTCAGTGACAATGATTATAAACTTTGTCGAATTTTTCCCCCCTCGGATGGAAAACAAAAATTCGTCGATAACAATGTCACCGACACAATTGTCGGTGACAAATTTTAGAAACATTTCTAATTTTTGTCGAAAACACATATTTGCGACAAATGTTTCTTGGTCTGGACACGGCTTTAAATTACATATTGAAATAAATTGATAAGCTACATATTTTAAAACAAGATTATGTTTTCAATTCATAATTACTGATTTTTATTTGAATTATTTTGTAAACTTAAACGGCTAAAATAGTTGATTTGCAATATTAGCGAAGTATTTTATATTTGTGTTGGTAAAATGTTAAATATATTTAATTATAAGATGATTGCGTGTGTATATGCGTGTTTCCCGAAAAAAATTAAGATGCTGAAAATTTTTTTATTCTATTTATAATTTTCTTCAAGATTATTCAATGTAAATATTTATATTATAGTCAATTTATTTTTTATATACCATTTATAGTTATTCAATTACGTTTTGTTTGCATAAACGAATATTCTGAACTTATTATAATTAATTATGTATTAGTCTTTTGTGTTCAGTTAAAAGTATTTGATTTTTTTATAGAATTTTCATTTTATGAATTTTTTATAATACGAAAGTACTATAATTATTTTGATTCTAAATATAGGTTCATATTACTTCATTATTATACCCGAAAAATAAACATTATGTAAATACAATATTCTATGAATCACTATGAAAAAAATAATATAAAAATAAACTATAACAAATTATAAAATTTGTAATACAATTAAATAATATGTACACAAAACGAAAGGAAAAAAAACACAAAAATAAACTTTAATTATGCAAATAATTATAAATATAATTTTCATTGTTCTATTTAATTATAATCTAGCCTATACAGTTTACAGTTATTGAAGTATAAAAAGTT